AAGGGAGACCTCAACCCGATCCAGGTTCTTGTCACAGAACAAGAAAGGATTCAAGAGTGTGACAGAGGATTTAGCAAAGTACAGTAAATTTTTTAAAGCGATAGTACGCATTTGAGAAGTGAGAGTGGGCAACCTTGGAGAATGACACCCCATTCAATGGGGGTCTGGGTGGAAGGTTTTTATTAAATGTGATGACTACTGAGGGCAAAGGTACTGAAAGCACAGTAATCACTGCTTGATAGTTTCATGAACCATCACGTGCAGGAAACCAGCTTCACAAAAGAAGCCTACAAGAAGTATGTCAAAGATGACATGAAATCAATTAAAGGGAAACTTGAAGAACAGACCAGAAAGAGTAAAACCTTTTATGAAAGAGTAAAACCTTTTATGATGGGCTTCAGAGCAAATCAAGCACATCCTTGCTAATTTCAAAACTTACCAGTTCTTTATTGGTGAAAACAGATGGCATGGTTGCTCTGCAGGACTTCCGTGAGGATGGTGTGACTCAAATATGATTTTCTTTAAGGATGGCTTAAAAATGGAAAAATGTTAACAAATTTGGCAATTTGGATCTATCACCTGTCATCATAACTGGCTGCTGTTTTTCTTTTCTTTTTTATTTTTATTTTTTATTGTCTACAGTTTTACATATGTCTCCTTTTTCCCCAATTGACACCGCCCCCAGTCATTCCCACCCCAGGCAAGCCCCCACCAATCCAGTGTCTGTGTCCATTGGTTATGCTAATATGCATGCATACAAGTCCTTTGGTTGCTATGTAACCCCCCCCCCCCATCATTTGTCTCTGGATCTATTCTTGTTCATCAAATTATGTTGATCATTATATCCCACATATGAGTGTGATCATGTGATATATATCTTTCTCCGACTGGCTTTTTTCACTTAGCATAATGCTCTCCAGTTCCATCCATGCTGTTGCAAATGGTAAAAGTTCCTTCTTTTTTATAGCGGCATAGTATTGCACTGTGTAGATGTACCACAGTTTTATTTCTTTTCTTTTTTAAAAAATATGAAACACTTCATGAAATTGCATGTCATCTGTGTGCAGGGGACATGCTAATCTTCTCTGTATCATTCCAATCTTAGTTATGTGCTGCCGAAGTGAGCACCTGGCTGCTGCTTTCCATCTACACATGAGGACTAGGACAATGGGACTGATGTTATCTTGAGCTCTTTATTTATTTTGCCCTTAATATATTTGGAGTAGAGGCATTGTTTTTAAGAATAACATGTCATGTAGGTCGTCTAAAAATAAAATGCATTTGAACTCATTTGAAAAATAAAAACCAAGGTAGAATACCTATTATTAAAAATTAACATTTGTGTAGTGCTTTACATATTTAATCTTGTGAATTATCTGTTTTTAAGAGGACACAAAAGTGAAACAATACCCAAGATCACACCAAAAAAATCTAAATATATTTTTATTGTTTTTCATATGCGTAGAATATTAAAAGATATCGATATATAGGCACTGATGCTGGTCCTTTGAGTTTCAAAACCTATAACCTTTCTAATTAAATCTGTCTCCCCTCTCCTCTCTCTCTTTTTTTTTTTTTGTGTCTAAAGTTTACATATGTATACTTCCCCCCCCATTGACCCCACCCCCACCCCCAGCCATTCCCACCCCCAAGGGCAAGCCCCCACCGCCCCAGTGTCTGTGTCCATTGGTTTTGCTAATATGCATGCGTACAAGTCCTTTGGTTGATCTCTACCCCGCCCCCACCACCACCACCACCTTCCCTGCCATTTCCCCCGCTCCTCTTTTTGTTAATGGTTGGAAATATCCCATTTCTTAGTTGGGTTAAAGGAAGTGGGTTAGATCTCAACTGTTACTAATTCAGAAAGAAAAGTCCATTGGGCCCTGCTGGTGTTGCTCAGTGGTTGAGTCCCCAGGTTTCAGGCTCGATCCCCAGTAGGGGGTGTGCAGAGGCACCTGATCAATTATTCTCTCTCATCATTGATATTTCTCTCTATATATCCCTTTCCTTCCTCTCTCTCTAAAATCAATAAAAACATATTTTAAAAAAGAAAAATTCTTTGGCACATTTGAAAACATTGATTCATTGTCTGTGGAAGTAATAGTGGACTATGATGAGTTCAAGTGCTGTCATTAATATTTTTATAAGATTTTTTTCATTTGCAGAGTTTTGGGGTTTCTTAATCTTGTATTAGGAAATATTAAAGACAATACAATGTGTATATAAATATAAAGTATACTATAAAACAACCCTATAACTACTACCCAACCTAACATAGAAATTAGCCATGCCTTCATAGGCTTTCTGCTTACACTTTCCCCTTAAAACAGGTAACAGCAATATTGAATTTTGCATTGTTCTGAGGTGTCTTAAAGAATATTTTTTCGGAATTTAAAAAAATGTAATATTTTGGGTAAATTTAATCTTGTTTTTTTTAAAATATATTTTTATTGATCAGAGAGGAATGTAGAAGGGAGAGAGAGAGAAATATCAATGATGAGAGAGAATCATTGATTGGCTGCCTCTTGCACACCCCATACTGGGGATCAAGCTTGCAACCTGGGCATGTGCCCCGATCGGGAATCGAACCGTGACCTCCTGGTTCATAGGTTGATGCTCAACCACTGAGCCATGCCAGTCAGGCTGACATAACTATTATGTAAATAACTTTAAAACTATACTTTGGTTTACTTATGTTTTTCAGAAGGGTTTTGTTTAAAAAGCAGCTTGGTGTCAAAGCTGGAAGCTAGGAACATTAGTTTCAGAAGTTTCAATGAATTGGGAGGAGTGAATATCGAGGAAAAGGATTTTGTGTGTACAAGGAAATTACTGGTGTAGTTTTTCTTTTTATTTACTAAGGAAAAGAAAACAAAGGGGTAGGATCTGAAAACTAGATCTTTAAGTTGTTCTTGGCAGAATTGGTACCAATTAAAAGACTTAATGAGCCCTAGTCGGTTTGGCTTGGTGGATAGAGCATTGGCCTGTGGACCAAAGGGTCCCAGGTTCGATTCTGGTCAAGGGCATGTACCTTGGTTTCAGGCTCTTCCCCGGCCTGGGTCCTGGTTGGGCGCATGCAGAAAGCAACCAATCAATGTGTTTCTCTCACATCCATGTTTCTTTCTGTCTTCCAGTCTCCCTTAAAAAATCAATGGAAAAAATATCCTCCAGTGAGGATTAACAAAAACAAACAAAAGACTTAATGAAACAAGCTTAAAAGATTTACAATAGCAAATTTTCTAAAGGTTAGAAGTGTTTGTTTTAACCATGTTTTTTAATGGTGAAGACTACAGAGGTCATATCCTATGTCTTATCTCGTCATTGTCCTTATTGCTGAGCCACTGAAATCTGGAATGTGGTTCATGCAGCATGACACTAACTTCCTTTTTGCTTGGTAGAGTTTGTATGTGGTCTTTCATGTTTTAGGAACTATGATCATTAAGTTCCTAGTTTTAAATGGGTAAGAAGAGTATTAATGCCTGTGGTATACTTTTAGGGGTAGTCATAATACATGTGCATACACATACATATATGTGTGCATATTCACTAAAGATGCCTTACTGGCAGTGGCTGCAAGTAGGGAATAAGCATTTAAATGATGAGTATTTTGGCTCAGAGTGGGCTCTGGAGACAAACTCTCTAAGTTCGTATCCTGGATTGGCACTAGCTAGTTCTGCAGCCTTGGGTAAGTTATTTAAACCTCTTTGTGATGGTTTATCTATTAAATGGGGATGATAAAGGGTCTGCCTTATTGAGTGGTTGGAGGATTAAATAGGTTAGTGCATAGAAAGCACTTACAGCTGCGGGGGAGTGCTCCATGAATGTTGGCTGTTACTTAAATATTATATGGAATGCCTTTTGTTTAGAAACTTCTTTGTTTAGGTTACCATTTGTGTGTGGGGAGATATTCTTTCTAGAATCATGTCTCCCTGTCACATGATTGTGTGCAGTGTGAGCCTTAGTAATACTCTCAGCATTTGAGGTTGGAACGTATGTGGCCCTACCCAGTGGAATCCAGCAAGAGCAAGAGAGAGAACTAAGCACCGTAGCAACTGTTGCTATTTGTGTCCCGAGCAGCAGCTGCTCTGGACAGATTTATTTTTTAATCCTGATCTCACTGATACCCTAGGATGTGGCCCTGCCTTAGAGAAGTAGGTTGGTGTAGATGTCTGGTCTTTGAGGAGGTTTCATGACCACATGTTACAAGGATTCTATTCCGTGTGAAATCTGAGGAGCCAGCGCTTTATGTGTATGAGAAAGGGAGAGAGGCTAAGCCTCAGCAGCCAGTCCCTGAAGTGAACTGTGACAGGATTAATCACAGGAGAAATCACTGTTAATATGGGCAGTGAGACTTCATGCTTTTCAGTCAAAAAGTAATTTTGCTGTAAAAACATTCTACAGAAAGAAGATTTAGTGGTCTGTGATTCCACTGTACACACTCATATACACAAATGTACATACATACATACATATATGAACACTTACGTATTAGTTTGTCAGCTGTGGATTTCAGAAATAAGATTATCTTTCCAATGAATGCTTTATTACCAAAAGCTTTTCTGAAGTAGATAGAGCTTTAAAAAGAGTTTGTTTCAAATAGTGGCTAGATTGATTCAGTAATTTTCTAATTTTTATTTCTGATGTGTTGAAATATTTGAAGCCTTACGAAGCACCTTGAAGTAGTAATATGGCCCTTTTCCAGATTTTGGCTGCTTTCTTACCTCGGGTTCACTCATAAAGTATTTAGTGAGCACCTACTGTCTACCAGGTTCTGCTCTGAATCCTGGTGACACTTAGTGAATGTTACTGGTCTGATTATTTTCAAATTATATATGTAGATCATCTATTAAAAATGTGATTATTTTTGTTTTTGAGTACCCTATTTAGATTCAGCAGTATCAATTTACTGATTTGGATGTTTTGAATTTACCATATAACATCATGTTGAACTAAAGAACATGTAACTGAGTGACTTAAAAAATCAAAACATTTTCATCCTCTAGGTATTGTTAACCCAAAGAACCCAAAGGAAGCTCCAAAGTCCTTCAGCTTTGACTACTCCTACTGGTCTCACACCTCGGTGAGTACACTCATGGTGCTGCAGGGGAGCAGGGTTTGAAGGGTTTTTTAATGTGTTTCAAAAGAGCCTTCAGGTCCAACAAGGAAAACAGGGGTTACCAACATCTAGGAAAATGGAGAGTGGGGCCCTTCGCAGTATCCTTACTCAGTATAGAATCCTTGGTCTTGCTGGCTTCTAGGGCTTTTTCCTAAACTAGGGTTTGCTTCTGCATCTCCATTTTAGGCATTCTTTAATTCTTTATTTTTCCTATTTTGTGTTGGAAAAGGAGATGTTTTAAACCAGCGGTCGCCAACCTTTCAGACCTCATGGACCACCAGTGTTCTGCAGACCACAGGTTGGCGACCCCTGCTCCAAAGGTTTCCTTAAACCAGCGGTCGCCAACCTTTCGGACCTCATTGATAAAGCCTAAGTGGCAAGGGAAGGATCTAGGCAAGGGGCTGAAAACATTCTTCACTGGAAGCTGTGTTGAGATACAGCCATACTACTGGTAGCAAGTTCAAAAAGCATTTTTATATGTGGACTTGACCTTTGATCTCTTAGTCCCATTTCCTCTTAAGAAAATTTTCTTGGAGCTCCCTATGAATGGAAAATGAAATGTAAAGTTATGGAAAATGAAATGTAATCATGTTAGATAATTTCATGTAGATATTTTTATGTATGGCTGACCTGGATAATGGATAACTCCAATAGTGCAGGCGTGCGTATAAAATGAGAAAAATAACATGTAGGGGGAACTTTAAAAATATATGTTTTAGGTGATTCGTTTGATTGAAAGCACTTCTATTTATTAGAGCAGTAATCAAATAAGCATAGGAAAGAATATTAATAAAATGTCATTTATTTCTCCTTTTAATCTTTACAGCCCGAAGATCCCTGTTTTGCATCTCAAAACCGTGTGTACAATGACATTGGAAAGGAAATGCTCTTACATGCATTTGAGGGATATAATGTCTGTATTTTTGCCTATGGGCAGACTGGTGCTGGGAAATCTTACACAATGATGGGTAAACAAGAAGAAAGCCAGGCTGGCATCATTCCACAGGTAAAAAACAAAAAAACAACGAAAAACCTCTGTTCCTCATTACTCTTAGTCTTCAATGGCTTTAACAATTATTTTTATTTAGCAAATGTTTATTCAGTGACTATCGTACTAGGCATGAAGATAAATCACCTCTCCCTTTCCCCCAGAGGAGCTAACAGTCTAGTGGAAGAGACTGACATGTATACATGTCTACTTTAAAGTTGGGAAAGTTGATTTTTTTGTAAAAGTTTTGCTATGTATCCAATGTTATGTTATTTTATCTTTTGAACAGTGTTACCAGCTTCTTCAAAAAGAGATAGTATGTAACAAGCTCTGTTCTGAATCCTGGAGACACTTAATGAATGTTGTTGCTCTGACTTTTTTTTAAAGCTCCTGTATATAAGTAGATCACCCCTTAAGAATCTGATTGGTTTTGATCACCTTGTTTAGAGATACTTTCCTTTTATTGTATTAGTTTAATACTATTATTTTAAGCTTGAACAGTGAAATTTCTTTTTTTTAAGAGCAGTTAGTCTTTTGATTTTGTATTATTTGGAAATGGAGAGGAGTTGTGACATGAGTATTTAGAAGAAACTTCTTTTTAAATAACAGGAATATGGCTTTTATTAATGATATTTGGAATTAATTTTAAAGAGGTTTTTTGTTTGTTTGTTTGTTTGTTTGTTTTACTATAGGCCTAGTGTGACCATCTCTATATTTTGAGAATAATACACAGAAGCAGTCGCTACTTTTTCTGATAGATTAGTGGACTGTAATTTTGAATTCAGTTATGTAATTGAAATGTTTAATTAGTAACAAAGATAAGAAAAATTTTAGAAAAAATGGGACATACTAATATACATATCTTTTTTCTGTAAAAAAAATCTCTATTAAGACATACAGGGTGGGGCAAAAGTAGGTTTACAGTAGTTTGTGTGGAAAATAATACAGTAATTAATAAATAGTAATACAAGAAAAAACTTTCGCATACCCACGACTGTAAACCTACTTTTGCCCCATCCTGTATATTTGGGAATTGTCCTTCTCTGTATATAGTAATAGCAACAGTTACAATGCGAATTAGAGAAAACATTCTGAAGCACTCCCTATGTGCCAAGCACAGGTCAAGTGCTTGACAAATACTAGCTCATCTAATTCTCCTCATATGACCCTAAGAGGTAGGTGCTATTGTTACCTCATTTTACGGATGGGGAAACTGAGGCATGTGGTCATATCACTTGTTCAGAATCCAAATGCAGGAAAGGTAGTTCTGGAGTCTCTGCTTTTACTGCTATGTAATACTTTTTGGGCAATAAAATAATTATAGATTACAATTATGTCAAGTTATACTAAATAGTCATATTTATTTTATCCTATTACCACACTTAGTTTCTCCTTTTTCCATTAATTTATTTGTTACTAAAATTCTTGTATAATTACATATCTTTTCTGGTAGAATTGTGGAATATTTTATTTTTTTAAATATATTTTATTGATTTTTAGAGAGGGAGAGAGAAGAAACATCAACGATGAGAGAGAATCACTAAGAATCACTAATTGGCTGCCTCCTGCACGCCCCCTACTGGGGATCAAGCCCACACCTAGGCATGTGCCCCTGGCCGGAATCAAACCTGGGACCCTTCAGTCTGCAGGCCTACGCTCCATCCATTGAGCCAAACCAGCCAGGGCTGGAATATTTTATTTTAATAAAAATCCAAAAGTATGGATTTTTTAAAAGGTGATTATTTAGAAACTGCCTATTTTTGTTGTTGTTGTTAATCCTCCTCACGTGAGGATAATTTTTCCATTGTTTTTTCAGAGAGAGAGTGGGAGAGAGGGAGGGAGAGAGGGAGGGAGAGAGAGAGGGAGGGAGGGAGGGAGAGAGAGAGGGAGGAAGGAAGGAGGGAAGGAGGGAAGGAAACATACATCAATGTAAGAGAGACACGTTGATTGGTTGTCTCCCTCACAGACCCTATGTGTCCTAGACTGGGAATCAAACCCTTGACCCTGTGGTGTTCAGGCCAATGCTCTAACCAACTAGCCACACCAGCCAGGGCTAGAAACTGCCTTTTATAATAAAATTTAAATTCTACTTAGACTTCTAGAAAATCACAAATGAATAGTTTGTTTTCCAAATGTATGTTGATTTCCTTAATACTAAATATATAGCAGACGAAAATTCAGTAGACTTTAGTTAATTCTTTTAAAAATTTTTCACATTTTAAATAAATTCAAGGGGTAGGGAGAATGAAATTTTATAATTTTTCTGATCTATAAAAATTAATGTTTTCTGTTAGAAATGTCACTGTGTAGTAGAGTAGCCTCTCATAACAGGTTTGGAGTCTTAAGACAGGCAAAGGGGAAAGTTTTATAGTCAAAATGAATTTTGAAATTGCCTTCATTTATCCCTTCCCATATATATAGAGAGAGTATTCTCTCTCTCTATGTGTGTGTGTATATATGTATACATTTATAATGTATGTAGTAACTGATGACATAATAATAAAATTTATATATCACAGTAAGTAATGTGTGTGCAAAATATAGTTGAATAGTAGTTTTACTGCTACAATAATTCTGACAGAATTACAGTTACTGTATTATAGTATGAAGAGTTGAATTTACATAAATTAAATGTGCCAATGACATAATACTATGAGACATAATTTCCTCCCCTTCCTCTAAATGTGGCTTTCTTTCTAAGGCAAACATTGTTGAGATGCTGTTGTTGAAGGATTATATAGATAGGAAAAATGTATTTAAAACTGTCTTTTCTTTCACTCAGAGAATTCACCTTTGTTGTCGATGCCATTAATTTTGTGAAAAAAAGAGAAAAGGGATATTACTAATTTGTGTAACAGTCCTGGTTAACTTAGTGCTTCTTTGATTTATGCTCTTCATGTCTCTCTCATTCTATTTCTGTAGTTATGTGAAGAACTATTTGAGAAAATCAATGACAACTGTAATGAAGAAATGTCCTACTCTGTGGAGGTGAGTACAGCCGTGGGTTAAAACCAGAGGCCTCCGTTCTCCATTGCCTCACCTGTTGCTTTTAAATGGCTCCAAGTTATGACTGTACTATAGATCACTTAGCCACTCCCCCAGTTTTGTACTTTTAGGCTATTTCTAAGTTTTTGTTATAATGAATAATGCTCTAATTAAATCCTTATTTATAAGACTGGCTTTAATTTCATTGATTTCCTTTGTATATATGTTGATTGTCAAAAAATGCATTTGGATTTCAGAAAGAAGCCCCATCAGGGAGTGTAAGCATCCAGTCTGCCTTTGCAAACATTTAGTATTTTCATTTTTGAACTTTGCCAATTTGATAAGGGAAAATTCCTCACACTTATTTAAATTCGAATTTCTTTGATTATTAGTGTGGTTAAACATCTTGTAAATGATGCCTATGTCGGTTTACATGTTGGGATTGCAATGTTTTTCTTATTTGTGTGAACTATTTCTCTTTAATATTATTAATAATGATTTTTGACAGGCATATATATAATCAAATCTCTTCCTCCCCCCCTTTATAGTTGCTTATAATCTTGGAAAAGTTAGTCTCCATCCATTGTATACCCTACAGTGGATTTTCTTTTAAGAAGAGGTTTTTAGAATTACTTTATATATATTAGTTTATTTGATAAACATTTCCACTTTTTTTGTATGTGCTTTAAGAAGCTATTATTTTATACCCTCCCCATGTTTTGGTAGTTAATTTTATAGTCATTAATATTATTAAAATGTTCTGACCCTACTACATGTATGGGCAACTAATTTTCTCTGAAGGAGCCAAAAACATAACAATGGAGAAAGGAAAGTCTCTTCAATAAATGGTGTTGGGAAAACTGGAAAGCCATATGCAAAAGAATGAAACTAGACTGCTATTTGACACCATAACATAGTGTTCTGTTAACGTGAGCCTGTTCTGAGAAATTAAGCTGTTTTAAGCAAACTCTAGTTTTTTGTATTTACAAAAATGTATATGTTTGATTATCTATCGGACTTACACAATGTCTACTTGATCTACTTAGATGCTTTGGGTTTTTTTCCTTTACCTATAAAGTGTTGCATAAATTGATAAGTTTTAAAGGATTCTGCCTGTGACCATTATACATCAAAAGGGGAATGTGCTGCTCTAAAAATATTTTTTGTTAAATTGAATTCTCTTGTCTCATCCTGTAGCTATTCTGTTTTGAATCACATGACAGAATTTTTTGAGCTTGTGGGTAATAAAAAAGAAGCCCTTTTCTTTCATATTAGTCTGCATTCATAGGCTTATTTGGACTGCAGCATAGATCCCCAGTTGATACTGTGGTTCCTTAAATTTATGGAACCTCTGCCTCATTTCTTGCCTTTCTCTTACTTACTCTGCTGCAGCTACACTGGATTTTTTTGCTGTTTCTAGAATACACCAGGAATGTTCCTAACTACAAAGCCTTTACTGTTCCTGAAATTTTCTTTTCCTGGATATCTTTTGACTAAGTTTTCCACCTCCTCCAGGTCTTTTGTTCAAACTTACCATTTCTTTGAGGCTTACTTTAATCATCCTATATAATAAAAGGTTAATATGCAAATCAACCGAATGGCAGAAAGAAAAGTTGCTATGACACACACTGACCACTAGGGGGCAGATACTCAATGCAGGACCTGTCCCCTGATGGTCACTGGGCTCACAGCTGGAGAACACAGTGGCCAGATGCCCTGAGCTGGGCTCACAGCTGGCGAACACAGTGGCAGTGGCAGGAGCCTTTCCCGCCTCCACAGCAGTGCTAAGGATGTCTGACTGCCCGCTTAGGCCCACTACCCAGGTGGAGCAGACCTAAGCGGGCAGTCAGACATCCCCCGAGGGCTCCCAGACTGTGAGAGGGTGCAGGCTGGGCTGAGGGCCCCCCCCCCCGAGTGCACGAATTTTGTGCACTGGGCCTCTAGTCTTTTATAATACTGCAACTTGCCTTCCACCCAGCACTCCTGGTCTCCCTTCCCCTGTCCCCCCCGCCCCCCCCCAGTACTTGCCATATTCTAACCTATTTTATAATTTTACTTATTTTTTATGTTTGTTGTTTATTTTCAGTCTCCCTTCCTAGCATCATAAGCTCACTAGGAAGGGGATCTTTGTCTGCTTTATTAACTGATGTATGTCAAGTACCTAAAAAGACCTGAAAATGCCTGGTGCTTAATGAATTGAATTTGCCAAGTGGGGTCTGTAAAGTTGGTTCATTTAGAAGTAAAATAAATAGTGGTGGCTTAGATGGATTTGCACATTAGAGAATACGTAATGGGACACATTAGCCTTTACCAGGTTATTTTGGGAGCTCTTGTCCCTGTTCATACATGTATAAGGCTAAGTTTTCTAAGAACATGTGATATCTTCCTGGGATTCAGGATTGTATGTACAGGTTTAAGTACATGAGAATGATTGAAGTACCATCTCACTTTCTTGGGTAACATCTTTTAGAAAGATTATCTGTTGTCCTGCTGTTTTACTCTCGTAATAGATCAATTACTTTATCTTTCAACGTCTTCAGTTTTTTTAAAGCTGATTTTGAAATACAGTATAAAAATACAGTCAGATCTGAGAATGAAAAAAAGAAAAAGCCAATAGAAAGAGATAAGGTTCCATTTGAGATACTCTGAAAATGTGTCTGTAGAAATTTGAAGCTGAAAAATGCAGAAGTTACATTGTACCCTTGAGTAGCTCAGGGTACACAAATGATTCTTAGGGAAGCCGTATAATTAGGCTTACTGTGGTGAATTTACCCAACTTCAGAGCATTGTTGCTTAGAAATCTGAACTTATAGGTTCATTAGGATCAGACCATCATTCCTCAAAGGCAGACTCTTGAATGAAGCTCATTTGATTGATGTTAAGAAACCAGCAGATTTGTTTATTACTTTCCTGTGTGGAATAGCTATTACCCAGACCAGACACTCATGATTGGTATATTATCTTTCTGTGGGTGAACCTCTATTGGAATGCTGGTGGTTTTTGGTGAGCATGAAATTAGAGGGAGGGGAGTTGATTAGATAGATGCTTAATTGCTTCAGGTGAAGAAATGATAGCCTAACACGTGGTCGGCAAACTGCGGCTCGCGAGCCACATGCGGTTCTTTGGCCCCTTGAGTGTGGCTCTTCCTAAGCCTTAGGAGTACCCTAATTAAGTTAATAACAATGTACCTACCTATATAGTTTAAGTTTAAAAAATTTGGCTCTCAAAAGAAATTTCAATTGTTGTACTGTTGATATTTGGCTCTGTTGACTAATGAGTTTGCCGACCACTGGCCTAACACATTCATCTCCATGACAGGAATGGTCCTGCTGACAGGACAAGAATTCCTGAAGTACATTGTCTGAGGCTTATTCCCCTGTGAGACTTGGATAGGTCCTGCCATACAATCGGATTCTGTGCTGACCAGTCCTTACCTCTCCTGATAGACACATTTTTGGTCCATAATCAGTCACATTGTGGCCAGTCTTAAAGTACTGGTATTAGAGTCGCTGTCTCTTGTCTTAACTGCTCTGGAATATTGATACAGTTCCTTGGTTTTAACACTAATAGAAATATTGTTTCCAAGCTTTTGGAGAATGGCATGCATTTAAAACAATATTGACAACTGATAAGTTGCTCTTAAAAATGATATTTTTTTCTGCTTAAGACAGGTGGCAGTCACTGTGTGCTAAGATAGCCTGTTTACCTCCTTTTCCTTCCCGAGAAAGTCAGAAGGCTGGTTCTGACCTACTCAGTGATATCTGTGCATATAGTTAATACGATAAAAGGGTCTGGAACTGTGGCATTTCACTTAGTAAAGGCTGCTGATCTCTAATTACTTTTAATGAGTTTTTAAAAATCTTTTTCATGTAGAGGATTTTTTTCCTGAGTTCTCATTCATTAATAATTTGTTTCTAGGTGAGCTACATGGAAATTTACTGTGAAAGAGTACGAGATTTGCTGAATCCAAAAAACAAGGGTAATTTGCGTGTACGTGAACACCCACTTCTTGGCCCATATGTGGAGGATCTGTCAAAGTTGGCAGTCACTTCCTACACAGACATTGCTGACCTCATGGATGCTGGGAACAAAGCCAGGTATGGTAGGAAATAGACGAACGGCTGAGGTCTTCGGCACATTTTGAGGCCCTTTGTAGTTATGAAAGTTGGTGTTATTGTGGAGTCCTCTGATCCTTTGGCTCTGCTGGAGAAGTGAGGGCTTCAGCATATTTAGTATCTATCTTCCTATCAAAACAATGCACTGCTGGGGCACAAGGGAACTGCAGTTAAGTTTTACTATTATGTTTTGGTCAAGTTATGCTAAAATGTTGCTTATCACATGCCTGTGGTAGTAATTGATCCTGGAATAAATGAACGCCTAATAAAAATAAAAATTAAATTCCTCAGTGGTTCCCAAAAGGGACAACTGGAGTATGAAAAATGATTCTGTGGGGGTACCTTTGGAGATGGAGGGTAACTTGATAGACTCGTAGATAAAGTGTATTGAGAGCGTTTTGTGTATAATCTTGCAACCTGTGAATTAAAGTTGTTGCCTGTGATTGTTATGCCTGTAATGTGGAGCCTGCTGTCCCTTTTAACTTTTGTCTAAGAATGCCATTGTCACGTGGTCACCTTTATGTGTATTTAGGACAGTGGCAGCTACCAACATGAATGAAACAAGTAGCCGTTCCCATGCTGTGTTTACAATTGTTTTCACCCAGAAGAAACATGATACTGAGACCAACCTTTCCACTGAGAAGGTAGGAGAACTTCAGTCTCTGGGCTTGAGTTGTGCACAGGGGATTTTCAGACGTCCTGCTTGCTAGCCTCTGCATTTTGTAGAAGGGATTTTTACTTAATGAAAGGTATTTTATACCTTTTGCTTATCATTTTTATTCCTCTCTAGACCAGTTTTGAGTATGGGTTCCTAAGTGAAATTGCAATACTACAACCAGATTTCTTATCTAGTACCCCGAAAAGTTGCCTCATGCTCCTTTGTAATCTAACTACATCCCTCCTTTCACCCCATCCTCAGGTAATCCCTGACTTGCTTTCTGTCACTATAGATGAATTTACATTTTCCAGGATTTTATGTAAATGGAATAATATAGTATAGTATTTTTTGTCTGGTTTCTTTCCTTAACATAATGATTTTGAGACTCATCTATGTTGTTGTGTGTATCAGTAGTTCATTCCCTCTTTCATTCTGATTACTATTTCATTATACAGATGACATATCACAGTTTGTTCATTAATTCATCTGTTGATAGGCATTTAAATTGTGTCCAGTTTTTGATCTTACAAATGAAGATGGTATTCACATTTGCATACAAGTCTTTGTGTGGATATTTGTTTTTGTTTCTCTTGCTTTATACCTTGAAGTAGGATGATTGAATCTTATGGTAAGTGTATGTTGAGCTTCTTAAGAATCTGCCAAACTGTTTTTCCAGTCTTCATTGTAAAATGATATAATGAAACAATATCATTTTATATTCCCACCATCAGTATTTGAGAGTTCCAGTTTCTGGAAGCTTCATTTTTAAATTTTTATTTAATTTTTAAAATCCCCACTCGAGGATATGTTTGTTTGTTTTTTAAATATATTTTTTATCGTTTTCAGAGAGGAAGGGAGAACGGAGCAAGAGATAGAAACATCAATGATGAGAGAGAATCATTGATCGGCTGCCTCTTGCACAACCCACACTGGGGATTGAGCCCGCAACCTGGGTGTGTGCCCTGACCAGGAATCGAACCGTGACTTCCTGGTTCATAGGTCGACGCTCAACCACTGAGCCATGCTGAAGGGCAAGGATAGATTTTTGTTGTTGTTTTTTTAATTGATTTGAGAGAGAGAGAGAAAAACATTGATGTGAAAGAGAAATGGATTGGCTGCCTCTCATACTCACCCCCATGGGGATTGAACCTGAAACCTAGGTATGTGCCCCGACTGGGAATCTAACCTCCCACCTTTTGGTTCACAGGATGACTCTCCAACCAACTGAGCCACGAGGCCAGGGCTGGAAGCTTCATTTTTAATATGCCATTTAATGGGTCAATGAATAAATATAAATGAGATCATGTAGTATTTCTCTTTCTTTGTTGAACTTATTTAACTTAACACAATGCCCTCAGGATCCATCCATGTTATTGCAGATGGCAAGATTTCATTCTTTTTTATGACTGGATAATATACCATTTTATTTATGTACCACATTTTCTTTATTCATCTATCAATGGATACTTAAGTTGTTTCCATATCTTGACTATCTATCTATATAAAAGCCTAAGTGACTATTACGACTGAACAACTGGAATGACCAGTCGACTAGTCACTATGATGCTCACTGACCACCAGAGGGCAGATGCTCAACGCAGGAGCTGCCCCCTGGTGGTCAGTGCGCTCCCACAGCCAACCTCCCGCGGCCAGCCAACTGCCTGCGGTCCTCCCCCACCCTGGCTGGCCAGCCTCCCTTGGTTCCTCCCCCACTTCTTCCCCCTGGCCCTCAGGCCCCAATCAGCCCCGCCCCAATCCATCTGTCCCATCGGCCTGGCTCCAATGGGCCCTGATTGCTGGCCAGGCCTAGGGACCCCACCAGTGCATGAATTCGTGTACCGGGCCTCTAGTTGTAAATAATGCTGCAATGAATATTGGGGTTGCACATATCTTTTTTAGTTAGTATTTTCATTTTCTTTGGATAAATATGCAGAACTGGAATTTCTGGATCATATGGCAGTTCTATTTTTAATTTTTTGAGGAACTTCCATACTGTTTTCCATAGTGGCTGCAGAGTTTTACATATTTTATGACATCATTGAAAAATACTTCTTTTGAACCAAGATACTTGCTGTGATCTTTCTGTGTGCTCTTTAAATTGATAAAAAGTATATGTTGACTTTGTTGTCTTATGTCATATATAAGTCCTAATCAATATTTTTAGTCTTCTCCTTGCCTTAATCTTTCAGTTTCCTGCCTCTAAATGTTTTCTACTTCTACTTGGCTTATTTTTGAATTGCCGCAATGTTATTGTTCTTTACCAGGTCAGTAAAATCAGCTTGGTGGATCTAGCAGGAAGCGAACGAGCTGATTCAACTGGCGCCAAAGGGACTCGATTAAAGGTATTTTTCTTGTCAAGCAAATGGCCTAGTCAATAATTGTTCTATAACATGGGTATCCATATCTGGCCCACTGACTGTTTTTGTAAATAAGATTTTATTAGAACACAGCTGCATCTATTTATATATTACCTGTGGCTGCTTTCCTGCTACAATGGTAGGGTTGAGAAGTTGTGACAGAGACCACAAAACCTTTAAGAAAAATTTTGCCAATTCTGCTCTATAACTTCAAAGAAAGGTTAAGTTATATAACAATAAGGAGAACTTCATGGTTGAGAGTTGAATTGTATTTTGAGGAGCAGATGAAAGTAAGGGACAGTAGTGGGGAAAAAGGATACACAAGATCCAGATGTGAGGCCAACATGAACTCCTCTAGAGATATGCTTAACAAGAGCAGAAATTTCGTGTTGGTGAATTGTGGGAAGAAGGCTGCATCTGTAAGTTTTTGGAGCATAAACATCTCAAAGACACTTTAAAACTGTACAATTAGACATGTGGTCTTGGCATGTTACCAAGTGGAGAGGAGGGAAGATTGAGAATTAAAGGAGGATTTTAGAATTTGTGGTCATAAATAAGCTAATAATGCTAGCCTATGGCTAATTGTATTTTATCTATTATACTGTATATGATGTGGCAGTTGTAGAAATTCTTCTTAATTCTTTCATGTTTGGAATTGATTTTAGGAAGGAGCAAATATTAATAAGTCTCTTACAACTCTGGGCAAAGTCATTTCAGCCTTGGCGGAGGTGGTAAGTGTTACTTCATTGTAAAGGAACATTTGTCTGCTCAGCAAATGTATTTGACAGGTATTTTATGATTATTTATGACGGTTGCCCTTTTTTGGCCCTCTTATGTAATCTTACCTTCCTTCTTTTAGAGCTTTTTGATAAGATACGAGGTATAATACACTTCGTACTAAAAGTAAAAGAGATTGAGGAGAATGAAAGGAAACAGATCGATATAAGCTAAAGGAAGGGCTAGGTCTTTACAAAGACCTAAGGTTTGACTATTTTTTGAGCCTTATTTCATATCTCATAAAAACCACAAGTATTTATTGTATCTTCTGTTTCTGTACAATCTTTTCTAAGTAGGATGCAGTACTTTGTTGGAGTATTTTGAACAGTTTGCCATAATAAATGCTGTTGATTTGGGGGCCAGTAATGTATTTTTAAAAGAGTTTATTTTTATTATTCCTTAATAGTGGAACACTAAAACTGAAACAATTTTTATATAAAAGCTTTGTTATTTATATTAAGAAGCTAAGAAAGTGTTAGTCATGTGTGTTCTAATTTAGTTTAGTATCTTATTTGAATCCTTAAAAAGAATTGAATGCTTTTTTGCTTATCTCTGAGAAGTCATATTCAATTTATGACTTAAAAATTACACACTATTTTCTGTCTGGAGGCTTATCCTGTGTTCTCATTCTCTTTTTTAAATGCTTTCATCTGTAGGATAACTGCACCAGCAAGGTATGGTGGGGGTTGATAAACATGAACTAGCTGTGGAATCAGTTGTGATGATTTTGGATCCTCAGCAGGGTGTATGGCACATACGTAGGAATGGCACCTTCAGAAAAAGTTTCTGTTTTTTGTTTTCTGGCTCTGGAATTTAGAATTGCTATTTAGAGTGGACCTGAATCATGAGCCTTCACAGCAAAATTAATTTAAGGAACATGATGTACTTTGAAGAAGGAATTCAGAATAAGGGAAAAGAAAGTTGAGGAAGTTTCTACATTGTGTTATCTTGCAATATCTCTTCTAGTGATTTAAAGCAGCGGTTGCCAACCAGTGGTCGGGATCACTGGTGGTCCGTGAGGTCCAAAAGGTTGGCAACCACTGATCTAAAGGACTGTCTCTTGAAGAGATCTATTAACTTCACAAATGGATGATGAAAGAAATTTCTTAAGGGTACCATTCTAAAACATAGCTGGCTTCTTGGGATTATTTGTATATTTTTCTTAAACATCTTTATATTATTTGTACTTGTTTCCTACCATGAAAAGTCATGGGTTATTTATTTATTTATTTATTTTTGTTAATCCTCACCTGAGGATATTTTTCCATTGATTTTCAGAGAGAGTGAAAGGGAAAGGGAGAGACAGAAACATCGATGTAAGAGAGACACATCGATTGGTTGCCTTCTGCATGCACCCTGACCAGGGCTGGGGAATCTGCAAATAAGCTACATGCCCTTGACCAGAATCAAACCTGGGACCCTTCAGTCCATGTGCTGATGCTCTATCCACTGAGCCAAATCGGCTAGGGTCACAGGTTATTTAAATGATAAAATTTTTTTTTTCTTTTCAGTTATACATAAAGCACAGGCTGTAGAATCAAGTTAAAATTCTAACTGTATCTTGAAAACATATGATTTGCATCCTTTTAAATCCAAATATAATAAATTTTTCTTCTATTTCTATAGAAATACTCTAAAATTTATTTTGCATAAATAATAGAGCACAGTTTGTTCTGAATCACATGAGTAACATTGGGGATAGAAGCAGTATTTGCACTAAGATATTTTATGCTCATATTTTCAGACATACAGATTTATTTACTCTTGGTAATTGCAAAATAAAGCAATAAAAAGTAATGTCCCTTTTCTGGTTTTCTCTGCTATTAAAAAAAGATGCCTTAGATTAAAAAATCTGCTATTTGATATACATTTATGGGTATTCTTAAAATATTTAATTTGGGTCCCAGAACCATAAAGACTGTTAAAACTTAGTGATTATTTTAACTTGTCCTGTTCATTTGCTCATCAATTAACATCCATATGAACCCAAAGAGAAGTTTACAAAGTACTTACCTATGTATTTCCCACTTTGCTCTGTGCCACAAAAAATGACTTTTTATAATCAGTTTTGTAAAATTCAGTTTAGTACTTTGCATCCACGTTATAACTATAATAGATCAGAAATAAATTTTAGTTTTTATGTAACAAGCATAATTTTTGGTGAATTAAGATGTCTTGTTATTTCCACTGGGGAGATAAACAGGATTATTACCATTTAAACTCAATTTTTTTTTTATGGGAAGTTACTGATGTAAATAAAACTTTTTTATGTAACTACTGAAGCGCTTATTTTTTAAAATTATGGATGTAAGACAGATGAAATTCATGTGTGTAAGACACTAAGTAGAGAAGAAATGGCTAAAATTCCAGGGTATTTTCAAATAGAAAAGATTGAAGTTCTATTTATGTATATTCATTTAGCTATTCCTTAATTTAGTCTAATTGACAGAAATGTAAATAGAATATTTTAGTAAAAGTGAGCCTGCTTATTTTTAGAGCATTGTTTGCAGTCATTGTAACTGCCTTGCTTTAAATCTTGCAGCATTTTCAGTACTAACCATAGGCAAAGTGGAGTGAGAGGTCTCCGGCCTCAAGAATTTTGTAGTGGAGTGAAAGTTCCATTATCTTGTGAATGACTGAGTGGGTTCAATCTCCCTTGAGGTCTGTGTAATTTAGAACCTGCTATTGGAAATGACTTTCTAATTGTTGGAATGTGTGTCAGTGAGTGGGGTGGGATGAGATGGAGGGGATATTTTTGATAAGAGGTGGAATTAAAGTACTGCTTGCCTTCTTTCTTTTCCTCCTCAACAAACCAGAGGTTAGCTACTTAGTTTTCCTTTTCTGAATACCTGTGTTTTTACAAGAACTAGATCATCCTTAGTGTAATTTAAACTCATATTGTACCTGGAATGGATTATAAAACTGCTCATTGCTGGGGAGATGTATATCAGTGAACCCTGGCTTTCTCCTTAGTAGTTTCTTAACTTATCACAATACATCAGTCAGCCAGCAGAGACTAGAGTAGCTCTTATCTACAAAAATGTTTATTTTCAAAGGATATAACTTCCTCCTTTGCAGCACTGGCTTTACATTGGTGCTTTTTGCTTTATTCTGTAATAATGAGAAGGGTTACGGAGAGAGCAGTATATATAATAAACTATATATAGAAAATGCATTTTCAGTCTTTAAAAATCTCAAGATTACGAATTATATTATTTCCTTAGATCTAATACTCTACTGATTGGATTTATTTTGGGCATAATTTCCATCCAAAGAAACCAAATTGTATTGCTCTACAAGAGTTACTAGATATGTAATAATCCACTTGATGATTTGGTGGTTGGACAAGTAAATGCGTTAACTAAATGACTGGCTCCTACACATTTGGCCTGGAATGTACAGGATTCATATTTGCCCCTCAGCAAAAGTAAAAAGTATTATTTGAGGATTGGGTATTAGATAATATTAAGGAGTTACTGTTAATTTTGCTAAGTGTGTAATAGTCATGCAGTTATGTTTTCTTAAATCTTTCTCTGTTTGAGATATGTACCTGAAGTATTTATAGGTGAAATGTTGGACTTCCTTTAAAACACTACCAGCTATAAAAGACATGACATGGACAGGATAATTGATAGTAGTAGTATGTTGATGTTAAATTTCCTTAATTTGGTCTTGGAACTGTAAGAAACTGTCCTTATCTGCTAAGGGCTTAGGGATAAAAAGGGCATGATGTCTTCAATTTACCCCAAAATGTTTCAGGAATAAAAAGTGTAGGAAAGAGCCCTGGCCAGGTGGCTTCGTTGGTTGAAGCATCATTCCATACACCAAAAAGTGTAGAAAAGTGTTTGAGGGATAATTGAAACATGATTGGCAAAATATTGAAAATGGTTAGAGCTGCATGATGGATATATGGTAGCTCATTATATTACTCTCTAAACTGTTGTGTATGTTACAAATTTTTCAAAATAAAACAAAAAGAAACAATTACTTTATTACATGAGCTTTGGGGTACTACTGTGAAGAACTGAAGCTGTGAAGTGTTAAATTTCTACAGTGAGGGTTCTACTGTAATTTAATTTACTTGGTAATTTTAGGCTGGTTTGTCTTTCATGTGACTTTTTCCTCCTTAACACTAAAACTATTTCTTTCCGTTTAATAGAGTAAGAAGAAGAAGAAAACTGATTTTATTCCCTACAGGGATTCTGTGCTTACTTGGCTCCTTCGAGAAAATCTAGGTATGTTGACCACTGGTTTTTAATTATCTTTTTTATTAAAGCTGGTTGGATTTGCATACCTTTATTTAAACCAGGGTTTTCTTCCCTATGTCGTTGACTTCCAGACATAAACTGTGAAGTAGTTGTCTTCCTCACCACACACCTGCTTCAAACTATTGCTCCTTCTTCCTCTTTGAAAGCTTCATGCTCCTCTGAGGTGTACACAATCAGATGTAACCAACCCGTACTCATTTTTGTTGATGTTTTAGGACCTTCAGTCACTGTTTCATTAGCCCTTTCCCCTCCTTGATGAGCAGGAGGGGGTAACCAGCTATGTCAGTAATTGCTGATAGAAAGAAGAGGCTGAGAATGGCCTTTTGGGCCGTCCACGTCATCAGTAACATTCACATCGCTAAGAGCAGCTTTGGTGAAGTGCTGAGGTCTTGTTTGGTTGGGAAGAGGGAAAATGGACACAGTAAATCCAGACCCCAAGATCTGAGTACAGTGCCTGACATGGGGACATTCAAGAAGTTTATTGACTTTTGATTAAATCTTAGGATCTAAGGTTGTGCTGTCTGATCTGGTACATTCAATAAAATTTTTTAAAAATGAGAGTGATTTGAGATAATCACGATTCATTTTTTTAGGTGGCAATTCTCGGACTGCAATGGTTGCTGCTCTGAGCCCAGCAGATATCAACTATGATGAAACTTTGAGCACTCTGAGGTACTCCGTTTGATCCCAATAGCTTAGAAGAACACAGTGCCACGTTAAGTCATTTTGTTAGGCCATGCATATTCTTATGCTGTATGGGTTGTCATTTATGTGCGTGAGGACCCAGCTTTCTCATAATAGGGAAAATGTGAAGGGAAGGAGATTCTTATTATAATAGAATTGACCTATGGTTTATGGTTTTCGGTTTCACTGAGAAAGGAAAAACATTTTCATAGGAAAAATATTAAAATTGTTCAAGTTAGATTTTCAGATAACTTTTAGATAATAGTGAAAGTTTTAAAATAATATTCATATTTATAAAAAAGAAGTGTCCCTGTGTTTGTCATTATAGAAATGCTCAAGTCGTAAAAAGTAATACAATTATGAGTACATGTAGCATTTTAAAAAATTAGTGACAGAATGTTTACTAATAGAGTATTTCTGTATATATGAATAGGTTTCATTATTTTAATCCCAAACTTTCTACTCTTCTCTCATTAAAGACACTTGATATAATGAAAAGGAACACTTATAGTCTGACTAATCAGTTTTGAGTCCTTTTTCTGGTATTTATTTCTTTTGTGATCTTGAGTAAATCACTTAAATTCATCTGAGCCTTTTTCTTCAACTTTATAAGGTACTATAAAACTTTATACACATTGTGTTATTATTAAGACCCATAAATGTGTAAATACTCAAGCTGTTTGCTTTAGAAATAATGGTATGTTAAAGAAAAAAAAGAAAGAATGGTATGTTACTTAGGAGAAGTAGAGCATCTGAGGAATGGCAAAAATGAATCTTTTTGTATCTAGATATGCAGATCGTGCAAAACAAATTAAATGCAATGCTGTTATCAATGAGGACCCCAATGCCAAGCTTGTCCGTGAATTAAAGGAGGAGGTGACGCGACTGAAGGACCTTCTTCGTGCTCAGGGACTGGGTGATATCATTGATAGTAAGTCGATTAAGGATCAAAACAAAATCTAATCCTTTTCAGGGTTCTTATATTTAAATTTAGATTTAAGGAACTTGATGAAGCTTGATGGTAGGAAAAGGGTTTTTTTCCCTTTTTTTTAATGTTTTTATTTATTTTTAGAGAGAGGAAGAGGGAAGGGAGAGATAGAAAGAAACATCGATGAGAGAGGATCATCGATCTGCTACTTCCTGCATGCCCCCTACTGGGGATCAATCCCAAGACCCCAGGCATGTGCTCTGTCCAGGAATCAAACTCTTGGTTCCTGGATCAACACTCAACTGCTGAGCTGCACCAGCCAGGCTGTTTTTCCCTTAACTTCTTCAAAAAAAAACAATGAAAATGATCTCAGAAGTTTTTTATATAGTATGTACCAGGATATCCATTTGAACTCATGAAATTAATTTTTCATGAATATATATCACTACTTGTATTTTTGATAGATTTCTGTTTTAGATCAGCAATGGAATTTATTTGGAATGTTAAGCTTATTCTCACTGAGAAACTAATTACTTCATAAAAATATTACTTGAAATTTTTGTTTTGTGTTACAGGTTTCTCTGGGTTAATGTAGTAGCAGTGATATATGTGTGAATGCTCCCCAGCCTGTTGCCTATGAACATATGAAGGGGAAAATATTTAATTGACCTTAAGTTCAAGAATTAGACTTTCAGAGAACGTTGTCTTACATTGTTGTCTTAAAATGTATCTAATTTTAATGTAATTCATTTGTCTTAAAATGAATCTGAATCTGGTTATGTCTGATTAGGCAATATGCCTAATCAGAAGTTCTCTTAAGTGAGTTAACTGGATTATTCAGGTAGAATAGTATTTGGCTTTATTTAATAGAGCATATTTATGGTGTGTTTTTTTGTGTAAAATTAATATTATATTATTTAGAATTCTAATAAGATTTTCAAGGCCTCTTCTGGTTTTCTAGTTTAGTTTGTCTTACTGATTAGCACTTGATTTTAGATGAATACAGTTTGTAAAATGATAATATAGTCTGTGTTAATATTTTCATCTCCCCAAATGCCAAAATACTGCTCTGTTCCCTCTCTGTGTCACTGCTGAACCTGAACTTTGATCCTTCTTGTATTTTCCCTCCTGCTTACCCTCAGTTGATCCATTGATCGATGATTACTCTGGAAGTGGAGGCAAATGTGTGTATTTCATGTATTGGTCATTCCCAGTAGTACTCTGATTTGCTAGTCTGCCTCTGCTGGATTAACCTAAAATGAGCTTTGCATGCCAGCAGTTCTAACAGTGAAATCCCAGACAGAGCATACCGTGTGTAGATTCAGAAATGATCCTAGTTTTGCCCTTCTACATTTAGCAAAGCAATCTTTGCTGCATTTCAGTTTGTGTCTTGAATAAAGTCGAGAGGCCGAAGAATCTTGTTACTTCTACCCTTCAGTGTTTCTACTTAGGTAATTAAACTGAATCCAGAGTCATAGATGATGATAATAGCAATGACAGCAGCTCACGCTTATGGAGTGTATATAATGTGTCAGGCCCTGTTCTAGTACCTTGGATATATTATCTCAATCCTGTCAATAACTCAGAAAGTTCCATTATGTCCATTTTACCAATGAGGACACTGTTACCAGGAGTGGTTAGTTGGCTGCTGAGATCCAATGGTTTCTGTGTGGTCAGGTTGGGTAGTGTAACTCAGAGCCCTAGCTTTTAATCATTATTACACCTTTCTTGCTCTTGATATCCTTCAAATATGATTATTTAGTAGAAAAGTCCTTTTTACTTAGCTGTGTAATTCTGAGCCTCAGTGTATATATAATTAATTAAAAACAGTCACTTCCAGTTGGGAAGTCTCTGTGATTGAGCACCTCTGTGACTGTTGGAGTAGCATTCCCCCTGGATTAGGCTAAATTGGCTTCCTCCCTATCTTGGGCCTCAGCTTGCTTGATAGTTAGGTAAACTCTTTTTTTTTTCTTTTTCATGAATTGCAAATTAAATTTTAAAAACTTACGTGAATAAAATTTGTGCTTGAAATGAGGATATTTTTAAAAGGATCACACATTAATCTTCCCATATGTGTTACTAAGTTGGTGAGGAAATAATTTCTTACCCTTTTAAGATAGTTTATCAAGGAATTATTGATTTGTTGGCTTGACAGAGAGTGAGGAAATCCATAGGAGAAACCAAATATAGCCCTGGCTGCTGTGACAAAGTTAGGCTTTGGGGACACTAAACGTTCTAATTCAGAGTGACTCTTGGACTGGACGGCTCTGTCTGAGATTTCCAAAGCTGACCGACACTGGTGTGGGAAAAACACCTCTTGTTCTCGCTTTTGTGCTCCAGAGGTGCTGCCAGCTTGTGGCCTCACTCTTTCCTGAGCAGCTGTGGCTTCTCCCTGAAAACTGTGCATGACTTAAATTTTAATTCTGTATCGCGCAGAAAAGCAGCCCTGACCACTTCTGAATTTCCATTTCGATCTACTACACTCAGTTCCTTTTAGGGCCTGCATGTGTCCGTTGGACTAACTCTGTCCTTCCTGCTCTTCCCACCTTGCTGCCGTCACCTGATGGCTGATTCTTTTGCTGCAGTTCCTATCCTCCCTTTAAAACTTGCTTGTTTTCCTATGTTCTATATTTGCAGATGGTGGTTTTCAAACTGTCTTGAAGCAACCACTAGTTTTAAGGGGTTTCAAGAACTGGCTTTGATTAATTAGACATGAATAGGCCAGAAAGAACTTACATTTTTTTCTGACTCTTTGTATTGACTCAGATCCTTTAAGGAAAACTTAGTTTTTATATGAATTTTAAGCAATGTAGATTTTTCTCAAATTTAAAAATGAGCTAATTTTAAAATTGGAATGCACCAATACCTATGGTTTTTCTCTGGTGTCTATTTGAGAAGGATGATTAATGAAGAAAAGTACAAACAGCAAATTATTGAACTTTGTTGTTTGTGGCTCGTTTGCCAAAACTAAGTCTAAAAGCAAAATCTATAGCTCTATTGAAAACTTTAGTAAATGAAAGTGTGTCCCTAAAACTTGCATTTCATACTGGGAACTTGGTTTACAATGACTCATGGTCATACTTTTAGGAAAAGTGAGAGCCTTACTTAGCAAATACTCAGCCTTAATTTTTTCGTCTCTGACAGATTAATGTAAACATCCATTTGCTAATTGTTCTTCCCTGTTAAGGCAAGCAATCAGCCCTAAGTTCTTAACCAGGACTTAGACAAAATTCCTGTCATTTCTACAATTACCTCTCCTATTTTTAAAAAACGATGTATTAAAAAAATTCTTTTTAGGATATTGAAATGTTCCTAAAAAAAGGACATTACTAAGTATTCATATTTTTGTTTTAACTGTGACATTTTGGGGGGAATTTTTGCTGAATGCTATAAAACACTGGGCGTGGCTGATATGTATTATTATTGATAAATAAGTGACCATCTTTTTTCCCTTACTGTGACAAACTACTGGGATTTACGAGTTGTGTAAATCTAAGGCATTGTAGATTTGGAGCCACAGAAGGAATAGAAAGGAGAATGCCTAAGCATTATCCTTTGGGGCCCGACCTGATACAACATTAACCATGCTGTAATTTTTTAGTTTCTACATTCAGAATTGGTTCTTAACCTCTAGGATACCAGTGTTAAAGACAGACATGTTTTAGAACTGCCATCTAGAACAGATACAACTTATTTTTGTATTATAATATGTCTTTGTCTTGGCACTTTAATGCTTTCCTTTCTTACATGGGTGTTCCTTCCTGTTTTTGTTTTTTTTCTCTTTCTCTATTCCTTTCCCTTTCTTCTACTTTTTCTGCCTTCCCTTCTGTCTGTCTCCCAGATCTGAAAGATTTTCAGAACAATAAGCATAGGTACTTGCTAGCCTCTGAGAATCAACGCCCTGGCAATTTTTCCACAGCATCCATGGGGTCCCTTACTTCATCTTCATCTTCCTGCTCACTCAATAGTCAGGTGGGCTTAACATCTGTGACCAGTATTCAGGAGAGGATCATGTCTACACCTGGAGGAGAAGAAGCCATCGAACGTCTAAAGGTGAGTAATAATTCAGACTAAATGAAAGTATTCTATGTAGTTCCACAAGGCAGAATTAGAACTAAAAATCACGGAGAGTTTGGTTCAGCATATGGAAGAACTTTAACTCTAGAGGTATCCTGAAAATGGAATTTGCTACTTTGTAAGGTAATTAATTTCTGTTCACCAGAATGCTTGACTCTGATGTGGCCAGGCAGATGGGAGAGATTCAAGGGCAGATCCTAGGCTGGCCATGCCAAGTAACTGATAAGTACCTGGGTATGTCCATTAGTTCGGAGGTAGTTTATAAGTCACAGTGAACTTGTTCAGTTAGAAATTTAGTTGGAAACTAATTAATTAGTTGAAAACATTTGGTTTCATCAGAAGAATTTTATGTAGAGCCATATATTTATTTAGTAAAATAAATACACAATCAAAAGAAAGTTTGTACATTTGAGTAGCTATGTATCAAGTTTATTTAGAGACGCATGAAGCGGCATCTTTTGGAAGTCCATAGAAGGCCTTGAAACCTTGTGGTCACTGCTGTGGAAGGCTGCCGCCTCCTGTGCAGGCCCCCTGCCCTGGCACTCAGCTTAGCTTTCCCAGCCTGTTGCTGGCTCAGTCAGGTGCTTTCTTGCCTCTCTCCATGAAGGTGGAAGTTAGGAACAGCAGCCTTCTGACTCACAGGTTCTTCCTCCCCCTCAGTGACTATGAGAGCAGACAGTTGTTACCTGTGGTGCCACCCTTCAAGTCACTGTGACAGCATCACAGATGCTTTTTCTTTCCTTGCTTGTCACCTCCAGGATCATGGTTTGATTCATATCTTTTGGCCTTTGTGTTCAAAAGTGCCAGGGTAGGGAAAGCAAGGAGTGTGAAGAAACTGACTAAGGAGCTGGGAAGTTGCCATCATGCTGCCAGCTAATAGTCCTCTTGGCATCCACGACTGCTGCCCATTCAAGGACTGGGAGAGCAGTGACCCTCTGACAGATTAGCGATTGAAAAGGTTTGCTGAGATTTTCACCACTAAGAGGAATTAATAAGCTTGATAGTTGAAGATGACAAATGCTTCCTTTTCGGTTTTCGGGTGAGGCTGAGAAAGTTTTAAATGAAAAATGGCCTTCTGCTTCTTAATCAGCCTACCTTTTCCCTTGGCATTTTACTCCTAAAATAAGGTGCTTTGGAAACCAAAGTAATGATCTTGTATCTTCCTCCAGAACATGTTAGTGGAAAGTGGCAGAGGGAGAGGGAGTGAGAAAACTTTTCATGTTGCAACATGAAGAGTAATTTCTGCTGTTGTAAAATTGACTTTGAAATGTTCCTGAAGACTTGAGCGAAGCCCTGGGCACGAAGACTGTACTCATGTATTTTATCACATAGGCATCAGTGACAAAGATGCTGTGCTGGGGCCACCGTGGGGATGCGGGGCTCTGTGGGAAGGTAAAGGGAAGTCTCCCACTTACTATTTAATGTAAAATGTGCTTTTTATTTGGGAATTTTGAATCTTACTGTTTGCTTATTAAAGCCTTAGTGCACTAATGAGATCACACCTTCCTTTAGCATACTTCTTGGTGTAAAAGAGGAAATTATCCTAATGCCAAGTGGGTCCAACTGGAAATAATGTTGAATGCTAGGAGTCGGGGCATTAACCAGACTCTGAAGAATTAGATCATCCAGTGTTTTGCAAATAGTTTCTAAGGAATAACACTGCCATTATTCAGGGAACCCTCCCCCAACCTCCCTACTTCCCACCAAAAACAAGACAAAACTACATGCTTTGTTTTAATGGTCCTTTAAGCCAACATAAATGAATCTTCCATTTTCCCTACCTTTAGGAAATAGCTTCTTTGCATTCGATCTTGAGTTTTTAATGTAGCAGGGTAGTTCACTGAAGCTTAAGAGCCTTAATTCTGCTCTTGTTCTGTGAGTGGGGAGAATTCCATTCTGGCAGACCTGCATTTTAATGCTGCAGGCAGATTACATCTTGCATCCACAGCAAGGCAGTGTTTGTATGATAGAAATGCTTGAGAATTCCTCATTTTTGGATTATTTCATTGTTGAGTGTGAAGGAGCTGCATTCCTAAGACATGACACTGTAGGATAAAAATACTATAATGGAAAACAGTAATAGAGGGGTCAATTCATTTTCCCAACATTTTATTTCCCTTTGCTTCTCAAAAACATGATCAATTGGTAGACTATTTTTACATAGGATGTTGCTACTGCATTGTTCATTGAATAGTCTGTTTTCATATGGAAGAAGTCTGTTACCTCATCATAAATATCTTGTTACCCCATCATAAATATCTTGAGCCCTTCATAAATGTCTCTGGCAAAACAGAAGACATGTAATTGCTTTCAGTTTTTAGTTGCAGGTCAAACTGAGTTGAAATGTATGTAATCTTGATTTAATTCCTATTCAGTAAACTTTCAAAGATGTAGCTATAGTCACTGTGTGGTGACAATGGTGTTTGTTTATTAGTCTGACATCAAAGTCAGCACTGTGAGTGCCATTGCTTAGGCTTAGACTATAAATATCAGCAAATATCCATTACAGAAGCATGCAAGGGCTAATGCTGTGCTAGGCAGCCCAAGGGCCCCATACTTGGAATTCACTTATGAAGTATTCTATGTTCAGTACAGTAAAACCTTGGCCATCTGATGGCTTCAAGGCATGTTTCATGGATAAGCACTAAACGTTTAAATATCAGAATTTAAACTAATTTTTTTCATGAAAATTTTTCTGATTTGGTGGATATCTCTGCCACCATAACTGAATCATGGTGAAGAGATTAAATTGTGTTTAGCCAGCCTTGGCCGGTGTTTCTCAGTGGTTAGAGCATCAGTCCATGCACCTGGAGGGTCGTGGATTTGATTCCAGGTCAAAGGCATGTACCTGGGTTGCAGGTTTCATTTCCACCCAACAGGGTGTATACGGGAGGCAACCAATCCATGTGTCTTTCTCACATTGATGTTTCTCTCTCTCTCTCTCTCTCTCTCTCACTTCCCTTCTCACTCTCTCAAAAAAAAAAAAAAAATCAATGGAAAAAATATCCTCGGGTGAGGATTGACAAAAGAAAAAGATTGTATTGAGCCATCTTATATAATAAAAGGGTAATATGCAAACTGACCCTAACAGCAGAACGACTGGGAATGACTGGACACTATGACACACACTGACCACCAGGGGGCAGACGCTCAATGCAGGAGCTGCCCCCTGGTGGTCAGTGTGCTCCCACAGGGGGAGCTCTGCTCAGCCACAATCCAGGCTGACGGCTGCCAGTACAGCGGTGGTGGTGGGAGCCTCTCCTGCCTCCTCAGCAGCGCTAAGGATGTCCGACTGCAGCTTAGGCCTGCTCCCCGCTGGCAAGTGAACATCCCCGAGGGCTCCCGGGCTGCCAGAGGGATGTCTGACTGCCAGCTTAGGCCCAATCCCCCGGGGAGCGGGCCTAAGCCAGCAGGTGGTCATCCCCTGAGGGGTCCCAGACTTCGAGAGGGCACAGGCCAGGCTGAGGGACCCCCCCCCCCCCGCCAGTGCACAAATTTTTGTGCCCCGGGCCTCTAGTATAAACATAATTATTAACCAGTGCTGTACACATAGCTAGACATATGTGATGCAACAATAAAATTGAATGACACCTGAGCCCAGCAGTTCCTGATGTCATTCTGCTTTTCGGGATTTCTTTATGTGTAGTACCTGTAGGAAGGAAGGACCTTTTAAAGATTTGTCTCCTCAACTCCTCATTTCTTAACTGTGAATCCTCATTTTAGTTCAGTCTTAAATTAGACTTCTAGCGTGGGTTGTGGGCAGACTGGACACCAGTGTGCCAGGCCTGCCTGCAGAGTGAGTTGATGACTCAGAGACTGAAAGCTGTCTTCCTGTTGGCATCTCTATTTTATTCATAGTTTGTTATTCAGGCTTGAAGAAAGAATATCCTCCCTCCTTTATTAAATAATTTATGGTGAGCATTTTTTAGAATATTTTCTTTAAAGTCTATTGATTCTACCTTAGACCTGGCTCAGGAAGAATCGCATCCTCAGGTTAATTGCTTAGTTTCTTTGACCCCCAGTTGCTTTATCCTTAGAATGATTCTGGAAAAAATAGTTTTCCCAGCACTGAAGTTTTGCTAATCTGATACTTAATATCATTTTCTCATCTTTTTTCAGAGTTTTAAAAAATAGCATTCTAAACAATATAAACATTTTCAACTTGAAGCTATATTGAAAAATAAAAATAGTACCTTCCTCAGCTTACTCATTACATCTGTTTTCTACATCGAGATCATATTTTGATTTACCCTCCAGGTGGGAAGTAAAATTAGAGAGGTCACTTTAGAGTTGGCAGCAAAATGATAGTAAGAGGATTCCTAGACAATAATTTTGCTTTCTTAGGGTGAGTTTACAGTTACCCCAAAATATAGCCAGAAAAACCTCTGCTCTGACATCTTTTTCTGAAAACCAACTAGGAAAAGAAGCTATTTCATGGGTCACTTTTTATTCTATAGCAAACATCAGTGGTGGGCTTGTGTATACTAAGCACTAGTGTAAGTGCTCTGGTTTGGTCAGGGGCATCATATTCTGTTTCTTTGTTTTTGAAGTTGTCATTATGAGACTGTAATCGTTTTTACCCCGCTATCATTAATAAACCTTAGTGTCATATAGTTATGGTGACAGCTTGTCTTGTACTTGCCCTTTTACAGTCATTTGCAGAAGCATTTAACACTACCCTGTTAGAGTTATAGAATAGCTTTTGTGATGCTTTATAGACACCGTTGACCGCTTGCTACCTGGCATCCTTTCCTGGCTGTCTTACGGCTTCCTGAAATTGTATGGGGGTTTTTTCTTAGTTGCTGGCCCTCTCTCGTGGCATATTGGTTCTTCCTCACTTAGCTTTGGATTGGCACATGCATTGCAATATTAGTCATTCCTATTAGAGAACTGTGTAGAGATGCCATTCAGGTGGTTCTCAGCCTGTGCATGTTTGGAGGGTTAATGAGAGCCAATTGGATGGTTTTGTCTCTTTTTCTTCAGGCCCTCCTGACCCCTGCAGACTTGTTCTAACTTAACTGACTCTTTTCTTTCCCGAAAGTACACCTCCTACGTGGCCCCTTTATATCAACCTTACTGATGCCCACACCAGTTCTAAGTGTTATCAATTTTGCTCTTTGCCTAACTTAGCTAGTTGTAGCAGTTGTTATTGTCCTTCTTTTTCTTCTTCTCCTCCTTCTCCTCCATCATCATCATCACCATCATCATCATCATCATCATCACCATCATCATCATCATCATCACCATCATCATCATGCTCTCCAGTTTGTTTCTCCTGACTCCTGTCCTCCTTTGCTTTTTCAGCTGCTGCCTTTACTCTTGGCTGTTTTACATGGCCCCGTGCTAATGCCAGACCCCTGGGGTTTATTGTATTACATATTCACAGTTTCTTTCTGTGTAATTATGTTTTGGGATCCCAGAGGCTTCTTATAATAGCCTTTTAAATGAATCAGACTATTTTGTGAACTATTAAGACTTTTTTTTCTTAATCACTATCACTCTTATCATCACAGTGTTATTATCTTATTATCATCATTGTCTAACTTTCTCATCTTGTCTCCATGATAGCATTTTCTCCTGCCTTTTGCATATGCTCATCTCCCATTTGGGTACTTGCTCTTCCTCCATTAGTCAATTCCTACTTGTCCTTCATTCATTGACACAAGCATCACGCAGTCCTGCCTCACCCACTTAACACTTCAGTTCCAGCACTTAACACACAGCTCTGTTGTTCTCTCATCCATACCCACTCAGAGTCCTTGAGCATGCTGCTCTAGCCACTGTTGTTCCTGGAAAATTCCAGGCATTTCCTACCTGTTCCCTCATATATTCATGTGGCAGCTCTGCTCACAGAGAACCTTGTCAGTGAGTCCTGTCCTGACACCCCCACTCCACATTGCTCTCTCACTACCCCTCCCCGACATTCTTTTCCTTCCTTGCTTTATTTTTCTCCAAAGTACTTATTACAGTCTGCTGTACGATAGACTTGACTTATTTCAGTCTCTTTACTAAAATGAAAGTCTCATAAAGGCAGGGAGGGGTTTTGTTCCCTCCCAGACCCCTAGGTGTCTAGAACAGGGCTTGGCATAAAATGGGGTTACATATAATTACTGAATGAATTCATCCTCAGTTACTTCTCTCTCTTTCCTTGGTATACAGTAAACTCCTTAAGAGCAGGAAAGATGTTTTATTTCTTATTTTTTGGCATATACTAAACACTCAGCAAGAAATTAGGAAGTTGTCACTCAGTGGCAAAATATTTTCAGTTGAGATTAATACTAAACCTTTATGTATTGGTTCATTGGGTTTGTGTTCAGAAGGTATTGTGCGGTAGGGGAGGAAAAATGTTTTTCCTTCTAATGTGGCCCCTGTAACAAAAGGCAGATTAATAAGAGAAAAATATACAATTTATTTAACAAAAGTTTGACACGACACAGGAGTCTTCATAAGAAGTGTTAAACCTGAGCATTAAGTTTGACGAAGAGTGAAAAGTTGTGGGAAAATGTGATAGGGCAAAGGGGTGTGAGCTAAGAATAGGAAACGGGGAACTTATCAAGGCCTGTTTGTTCAGATTCCTCTTGGCGTTCCTCCGTCTTCAGAAGTGTGGATGCTCCTTTCCTCCAGGTATAGGGGACGCCTCTCCTGAAGCTCTGATAACCTGCGTCAGGAGGAGATCAGAGTCCTTCCTGCACATACCATTTTTCAAATTACTTCAGCTTACAATATTTAGTCTGCCAAGACGCCATGTTTTTTGGGGAGCGTGTTCTGAACCCCATCAGTGTTATGGCGAAATAGTGAAACAAAAGCAATTAATACCTTTGGGAACTTTATTCTTTTGTAGAAGTGGATGTCAGAAATAGTGCCTTGTATATTGGTGTGTTACTATTATTCTTTCCTCTACACACACACACACACACGCGACACACATACACTATTAAGGTATTTTTATTAGGACTTAAGAAAATTAATCTATCTGGGACTGATTTATTTATATGGTCTTTATGATTTTTTTTTACATGTTAAGAAAGGAAAAAATGTCATCATATTAGATTCTGCCTCATGTTCTCAAAGGACATCATCTGCTTCTTGCTGTCCTTCCTACGCATGCTACGCTAAATTATGAGACTGTCACTTTAACTGTGGACTTCCTCCCGTAGGAATCAGAGAAGATCATTGCTGAATTGAATGAAACTTGGGAAGAGAAGCTGCGTAAAACAGAGGCCATCAGAATGGAGAGGTCAGGAGGTTAAATTCTGGGAAGTTTCTAAATTTTCTAAGGAATTTTGATTACTTTTATAGTAAGAAAAGATAAAATAGAAGTTAACAAAGAACCTTCTATCCTAAAAAAAAAAAAAAAAACCTAGCTGGGGACTTATGGCCTGTTGAATTTATACTTTGAAATAAAAATCACATATTTAAATGTTCTCTAGAAAATTATGGTGCTTCAGTAGTTAACATACTGCGTGTTGCTGGGTATCCATATAAAAATGGAAGCTGTTGAGGGATAAAGTTTTTAATTTGCAAGGAGATTGCCCAAATTTATAAAGCTGTTCTGATTATTGTCTTTCAAAGTTTTATAGAACCTCTTGGTAAGAAATGAAGGCGTTTAAGTTGCAAACTTTTAAATTTCCTATTCTGTCTCTACCCTGAATGTGAACATAACCCAAAATAATACTTTTGCTATTGGAATAAATATACATTTTTGAAATGTCGGTCTGTTCTCATCATAGCAATTAGGCAGAAGTAAGTTCCAATGTCTTGATACAGTAAATGTATCAAACAATTAGAACTTTCTTACTTAATATAGAATTTTTAAGCTAGAATTATTGAACCAATATCATGCTGAACATGGGAACATAACATTTGAGAAAAATCCCATTCATAGACAGTGCTCCATCTATCAACGTTTCTTTCTGACTGCTTTCCTAGATTTTGAAGAAATGGTTGAGTTTTATGTTGAGCCTTAAGGAAAATCCCTTTCTTTTTTATACAAATAAACATTACGAATTATTGTCTATCTCTAAAGTCAGATGAGACAGAGTTCTTATTTAGGTGAAGATAACCTTATCTAATAGAGGAACATAATTTATTTTGAATGTGCTGTTTCTCTTAAAAATAATTTCTCTAATGATGAGATAAGCAGATTCTTTCACATGTATTACTGACTTTAAACATTTTTGCTTTGCTTTATTTTTCAATTCATATTAGACTGATTTAATTGACATTTTGGTATTAGAATTCTGATGTGATTTTGTTTTTTCTAGAGAGGCCTTGTTGGCTGAGATGAGATGGGAGTTGCCATTCGGGAAGATGGAGGAACTCTGGGGGTTTTCTCACCTAAAAAGGTAGGAAATAATGTTGTGAAACTCAACCAAACAGAAACACTTTTTGTTTGTCTAGTCACTGGGGTGCTTCATGTCTTTTTGGGCTGACCCCTCAAAACCCCTCTCTCCCTTTTTTTAAAATCATGAGACTTGGCCTGGCCGGTGTGGCTCAGTGGTTGAGCGTCAAACTATGAACCAGGAGGTCATCGTTTGATTCCCAGTCAAGGCACATGCCGAGGTTGCGGGCTTGATCCCCAGTGTGGGGCGTGCAGGAGACAGCCAATCAATGATTCTTTCTCATCATTGATATTTCTATCTCTCCATTTCTCTCTGAAATCAATAAAAATATGTTATTAAAACAAAATCTTGAGACTTGGCTTACTTAATTTCAGATATTTCTGATTTCATCTTACAGCCCAAGGGCAACCTATTATATTTATAATTTACAAAATAAAACCCAAGGCAATAAATCTGTACCTTATGGTCATGATTCAGCATGTTTAATCTTCCTCATTGTTGCTTGCTCTTAAAGGCCCAGCCTAACCTGGCTCCCCTTGCTTCTGTTGGGCTACTCTTTCTCTGTAGATTTTCCCACAGATGCTGGCAACCCTCATTTATAACTCTCTAGAAGCAATTGCAGCTGTTCAGAAAAAGAACCACTTTAGTGTGCTTCTACAATTTATGTTATGGACAACAGTGTACTGAGCAAAGCAATTCCTGTCATCATCCTTCTAGCCTCTGCTCCTTTACCAGTTACAAAAAAGGACTCCAGTAATTACCTTCCTACTTACATAATCATAGTTAGGAAGTAGTAGATATCTTTTAGTTAATTAGAATAGTAAGGTGTGTTGCTTGTTGTGTGTGTGTGTTGTTTTTTTTACCAAGTTGCTTCTTAGTTGTTGTTAGATATCGGAAAATATTATCAAGTGATTATTTTGTGTGCTTATTTGTGTAATAATAGAACATATTCGATGTACAAACCACATACTTCATACCAATAATAAACGGTCCTTCATTTCAGATGACCTCAAGTTGGCTGTTAAGAGACTTAAAGCCTTCACATAAGGGTCTGATAATGATCTCTCTAGGTTAGCATAGAATGGGTAGGGAGTTTCAGTTGGTACTTTTGTTTTATGTGATATAAAATATTTCTGTGATTTTTGCTAGGTTTCTTTTGGTTAAGTTTTTCACATAACTTTTAAAAATAAATGTCAGTGTGTTCTTTTTAACAAAGAAGACTGATTTAAAGAAATTTTAGGTATATATTGTAAAACTGGAGCAGTAGTAAAAGTATTGTATATGTTTGTATTGCCTAAGGTCAGTGATTTTCAGCTTAAAGGTTTTTCCTTCAGTAAGACATTATTTATTCAGATATATTACTTATGATTATAAAGAGTTTAGCAGTTACAGGTTTGCTAGAATTTAGAGTGTGCCTTTGCATATATCTATATGTTTATACACACAACACATATATATATTTAAGGATATTTTATAATATCTTTTAATGTTAGGAACTGTGATTATATGACATCTTGTAAAAATATGGTATTTAACACAAATCATAAATAACTTGAGTAAGAAAAAAATAAATAACTTGAGTAAGTTTTGTGATATAAAAAGCACAGAATCCAAACTGGCAGCTCTGTTTTAAAACCTTTTTTTTTTACTTTAATTTTACCCATCCTGCTTTAACTTTCTGGACTTCCTCAGGAAACTAACTATATCCAAATTCAGTGTTAGAACCTGTTTCTGATGTGTTAACGTGATTGTGGTAATCATTGCACAATGTGTGCATATATAAAATTGACACATTGTACACCTTTTAAAAATCACGTTCAACTAAATAAATATAATTATTATCTGTCAATCATACCTCAGTAAAACTGGGAGGAGATTCCTTTAAGGCAAGAAAAGAAAAAAATAAAACCTGTTATAGAGATTCCTTTTTTCTTAGACCAGTGTCATGATGGGCCCTAAAGAATACTGCCCAAAGAGGCCTTTGACTCTCTCAAACCAGCAAGCTTTCAAACTGCAGAGGCAGATCTAGTTGAGAAGATGTAGAGGTTTTTCTAATTGATTTTTAATCATCTTTTGCAGTTCCTTTCTTAACCTCTTATCTGCCTCTTCTTTCATTTTTCTACATTTGCTGACACTATCTTGAGTAGATTTTGACTCCAACACCTTGTGACTTATTTTTGGATTCCAGTGGGGTATTTTCACCAAAGAAGGTTGGTTTTTTAAAAGATTTTAGAAATATTAGAGTTAGATGAGAATTTTTACATGATGTATGTATTATTTGAATGTCAGTAATTTTAATTTCTTCTTTAAGGTACAGACTAATTAATAAACTAAAGATAATAACAGACCATGGAAGAACTGATAAAAATTACAGAGGGAGATGATGGGAATGTGGGGAATTTTTTATACCTTATGATCTTATATGTGGAATCTGAAAAAAACACACACTAAACATCAATACAGAGAACAGATGGTGGTGAAGGACATTTTTATAAAGCAAATGAAAAATTAAATTTATTGGAATTGTAGGGGAGGAAAAATAATTTCCCCTCTACCCTTCTGAGTTCTTGGCTGAAAGCCCTGTAATAAAAGACAAATAGATTAACAAGAAAAAAACAAATAGAAGTTTATTAACATGTCTACCTTATGTATACATGGGAGATACCCAGGGGAAAATGACTAACGCCTTGATGTGGCTTAGAGTTCAGACTTAGATGTTATCGTCATAGGGAAGGGAGAGGGAAGATAGACCCCTGGGGGAGAGGAAATGGTTTTTAGGGTCCTTAGAAGAGTAGATGGGAAGTGGGGTAGACTGTGTGTGACAGTCTGTCGGGGTGTGGTGGTGACTTCTGGCTTCCTCTCCTGTGGTGAGAGTCCACCTTCCCTGTTAATGAAACTCCTGGAGGATTTATGACTATTGAGTTCCGTCAGGAGGATCTGTATTGAGGCAGATGTGGGAGGTCAGAGAAAGCCTCTCTCTGCACTGGCTGCTTTTCAAGTGCCTACCGCTCAAAATAATATGTTAAAGTGGCATATTTTGGGGTGGCATATTCTGCTACCATTCAAGATTTTTGTCCAAGTGTTTACAAAAATTATGATTACCCATCCAGAGAATCAGCCTGTCCTAATTTTTCTTTTGTATTCTGAATGTTTTGACCTTATCAAGAACTGGATCTTGTTCTTTATCTCAGAAATCATGTTCTTAGATAGTGTATGAGTGCAGTTTGGGAGGCCCGGAGAGAGTATTTTCTATGTATAATGGAATTGCAACTTGGAGGGAAGGCAGTCTCTTTTCCAGCGCCTGTGGGTAACCCAGGAAACCCTCAGCCTCCTGGTCACAGCTCTCAGGGCGCTTGTTCCAGCTAATCTGTAACCTTTTTCAGACCCCACATCTTGTTAACCTCAATGAGGACCCACTGATGTCGGAATGCCTGCTTTATTACATCAAAGATGGAATTACAAGGTATGTTTGTTTCTTTTGGTCATTTAATGTTTTTTTTTTCCTCTTAGATGATTGAATAAAGGGAAGTTGTTGAAAAATTTCTTGTAATGATTTGATTTTCCCACCTGAAATAGATACAGAGTATCCTCTCTACTCTTCCAAATTATGTGTCTTAGCCAGCTGAACCAGTTAACATGTAGTTTTTCCCTAAAAGACCCTAAGTAAAAATTTTCCTCCTTACATCTTACATAAATTCTATTATGAGTAGATTAGCTCACTCATGTCTTTGTGTAGTGCTGTGTGAGATACATTGGTAAATCATTGTTCCTTGGTTTCTTATTCTGATGTAGGGAAGTTGCCCATATTTGAAAATAGAATTTGCAGTTGAAAGCCTCTGATAAAAAAAAGTGGTACCTTTTTTGTATGTACAAAGAATATTCTTTGGGAGAAAGAGGTTTATTGTTTGTAGTGCTTTTTGTGTCTGAATTTCCCTGGGAAACACTTTCCCTTGTGTTCAGGGTTGGCCAAGCAGATGCTGAGCGGCGCCAGGACATCGTGCTGAGTGGGGCTCACATTAAAGAAGAGCATTGTATCTTCCGGAGCGAGAGAAACAACAGTGGGGATGGTGAGAGTCCTTGGCTTAGCTTTCCCAACAACTTTTCATTCTACATTATGGGAAGTCCATGCACCAGACCTGGTATTCCCTGTCTCTTTCAGCGATACTTGCTTATACAATCCAATATTTGAAAATGGAGAAACCTGGGCTGCGTACAAATGTAGGGACGGACAGAGCTACTTTGCATGAAAATAGCTTGGACAAAAGGAGCCCTTTGTTACTGCCAAGAGCTAAGCAGGACATAGGCAGTTAGGCTTGGTCTTGAATGTTAATTATTTGATAGGCAAGTAAGAAGGGAACAAATACTCTGGATTGTAGGAGATTGGAAGGATCTCTAGCCTTACTCCAATAGAATTTTATCTAAAAAGAAAGAAAAAGTCAGTCTTGTATTTTGTACAGGTTATTAACAAAACAACAGCAATCTAACCATATTTTTGTGCTATATAATTCATTCCTTCCTTAATCAAAATATTAGCTTTTGATTTTAAGCTTCTTATTATGACCTATATTTCATACATAAGATTTCTGATGGTTTACAGTTTTATAGATTGAACTATCAGATATCACCAAAACTGAGATTTTATATCTTTTGATGTTTGTCAATTTAAATGTTTCTATCTTAGCCACAGCCCTGGTTATGACACCCTAAAATAAACTATTATATGATGCTCAGCCACTTGGTCGGTTACAGGAATCTATTCTAGTTACCCTAAATCCTCATAGTCATCTACTTTCCATTATTTTATTCCAGTGGTTTGTGATACTAACATTAATTTGCATTCCTCTTAGTTATCGTGACTCTGGAGCCTTGTGAACGCTCAGAAACCTACGTAAATGGCAAGAGGGTGGCCCACCCTGTTCAGCTGCGCTCAGGTGAGAGTGGGACAGGTTTGAAGTCTTCAGCAAAGATCACATGGCTTGTGTGAGCAACTCTATATATATTTTTTTAATTCTCACCCAAGAATATTTTCCCATTGATTTTCAGAGAGAGTGGAAGGGAGGGTAGGGGAGAGAGAAACATCGATGTGAGAGAAACACATCAATTGGTTGCTTCCCGCAAGGGCCTCTACTGGAGCTAGGGATCGAACCCACAACCCAGGGACCTGCCCTTGACTGGGAGTGGAACCTGTGACCCTTAGGTGCGTGGGCCAATGCTCCAACCACTGGGCTCACCAGCCAGGGTGGAACTCTATAATTTTTGAATTTTTGTTTAAAGGCTGAAGTGATAGCATTAGGATTTATGTTCTTGTAAAATCTCAAAAGCTGTCTTTTTGCATTAAGGAGAGTGAGGTTATTAACTGAGATACTATACATTTAAAAAGTGGTTTCTTAACTTTGTGTTGTTTTGTGATAGGAAACCGTATCATCATGGGCAAAAACCATGTGTTTCGTTTTAACCACCCTGAGCAAGCACGGGCTGAGCGGGAAAAGACTCCTTCTGCTGAGACCCCCTCTGAGCCTGTAGATTGGACATTTGCCCAGAGAGAGCTTCTGGAAAAACAAGGAATTGATATGAAACAGGAGATGGAGAAAAGGTAATGTACAAATGTGATGTGGCCCAAATGACTGCCACTTCTTTTAAACATCGAATAGTAGTGTTTATAAAACAGCTCAGTGATTTCACCATGTATTCTTTTCCCCGCTTGGTTTTCTTTTTCTTCTAGGTTGCAGGAAATGGAAATCCTATACAAAAAGGAGAAGGAGGAAGCAGATCTTCTCTTGGAGCAGCAGAGACTGGTAGGAGTCCATCCTGAATCCTCTCTAGGAAAAGGGCAGCTTGCTCTCACACCTTCCCTGCCCCACAGATGAGCACTCGCCCACATGGCTTATCCATCTCTCACTGATAGCGCACACTTTTCTCTTACTTCCTTAATGGAGAGTGGACTTACAGCTCCTGGTAGCCTGAGCCTAAAAAATTGTTCATAAAGGTGCTATTTTGTGCCTTTTATCAAGTCTTCTGTCAACACCAAGTGCTATAGTGGGAGCTTTTCGGTAGCCTTTGCCTCTTGGTAGTGGTTTTTGAGTATGCATCAGTGGTGGTTCTTTGAGTGGTAATTACTCTACATATTGAATTTGGTGGGCGTTTGCCTTGGTTTTGTTTCTGATCACCTGATAGTACTAATTCTCTGCTCTTGGGCTGACCTGGGGGTTGTTCTCGTGCTGGGCAGACTTTTTTTTTTTTTTAGTTAAACCGTGTCTAAAAGTGTTGCTGCACAGTTGCATGTGTTAATCCTTTTCTGTTCCCCTGCATGGAGTCTGCATCCTCAATCAGGGTCCTCAATCCCCGTGGCATGTGGGATGACAGTGGAAGCAGGGGCTGTACAGCCAACCCAGATAGGAGAGGGAAGCCTGGTTTCTCTGAGCAGCTGAAAAGTTGATTTAAGGTTGCAACTTATAATGCTAATGGCTTTAGCCTTTTATGCTGTTAATTGATTCTGAATCTTATGAATAAATAAGTTAATTCATTAGTTTTTTCATTAGAAATTTTAAAAAATACCTTTTTATTGATTTTTAGAGAGAAAAGAAGGGAAAGGGAGAGAGAGAAACATTGATGTGACAGCAAAACATCGAGAGCCTCCTGCATGCCCCCTACTGGGGATCGAGCCCACAACCTGGCATGTGCCCTGACCGAGAACCTAACCAGCAACCTTTTGGTGCATGGGACAACGCCCAACCATTTGGGCCACATTGGCCAGGACTAGATTTTCATTTTTAAAGCCATCTAGTTTTGGTTGATAAAGCCCTTGTTATAAAGAAACTTCTTGGCATTCACTTGATATGTGAAGAAAATGCATATAATAAACCTTTGGGTACTATGGGTGCAGTTTAGGAATTTTCCAGTTTTTAAGATTCTTGAACGTCTTTTAAGATAAGGTTAGCATAAATTACAGCATGTAAAACACTGCACATAAACTACAGCCTTATAGCCATGCTCTGCTTTGGAGAAGAGAGGCTACTGCTAAATGGGCCAGAAAAGCCAAGGGCTTAAGCAAAGGCAGCCTTTTTCAGGGCAACTCACTTCGGAGGCTTGGCAGTAGTTAACCAGTTCATTTGTTAGCTTGGAAATTATAATAAAGTCCTCCTCATAATGGATTGTAAGAATAAATCAAGTGTCTGGGGCAAGATAATAGCAGTGTTAACATATAGAGAGTCTATTTAGGAGGCCTAGGTAGCATTTAGTTTTTAGTAAAAACGGAAAGATTAAGCTAGAATGTGATTAAGGGCTTGAAAGGTTTACAACACATAAAGGAACCTTTTATCTTAATAATGTAGTATAATCTAATAACATGCCTCTGATGGTCTGTGAGAGATCAAACAAGGACAGGTATAATTAAGCTGTGTTTATTATTAGATAGTGCCTTGTAATTAATTGTATAGTGCTTTATAATTTACAGAGCTCTAACATCCATCACTTTTTTTTTATTCCTGAAACAACTCTCTTTAGTAGATTTGTATATACATAAAATGAGAAATATTACCTCCAGCTGAGGAAACCAAGGCTGAACAATACTGTCTTTCCCACTCTTAAAACCTATTAAGTCATGGGTTTGAGGCTTAAACTTGGGTCTTCTGACTTACTTCACTGTCCTGTTCAGTAAAGCAGTACTTACCAGCTACCTAGGAGTCTTATTAAAAAGCAGATGCTGATTCAGCAGGTCTGGGTGCGACCTGAGATTCTGCACTTGTAACCAGCTCCCTGGGGATGCCCATTCTGCTTGTTCTGGGACCAACTGATGAGTAGCTGGGTGGGAAAGAATGATGGCTGGTATTCTCCGTAACCAAGAGCTGGTGATCATTCTGTGCTCTGAAGCAGTGGTGCATTCACATAGATGAGGTAAATGTCTCTACGACATGCTTAGTTTCCAGGGGCATACTTATTCTGCAAGTAGTCAGGTTCTGGTTGCCATTTGATCAGTGTATCTCAAAGCAAGCTAGGATTTCAAGAGCAGGTCCTCCAAGCAAGGAGGCTGCTTTCCTCCCACAAGTCCAACTCTGTATTCCATTTAAAGTCTGTCTTCAAGAGGAATTGATTTCTAATGCTTTAGCCTGAAGAGTACCTAGTAGTAGCAGTACTGAATGGGAAATGTATTTTTATCTTTCCTGTATTGGTCAACCAACAGATACATTTTGAATGTGCCCTATGAATAAACATTGAGAGGATATAAAAGACTTATTTTTCAGTAAATATCTTTACATATTTGTTATATGTAATCACTTTTGCATAACAACAGCATTAAAAAACAGAGTTTTCTATTACCATAGTTCCCCATACGGTGCGTCACACTGTTATATTCTCTTGTAGTTAGTGCCCTGTTGTACACCTGGTCCTTTTCATGCTTGCTTTTCTACACATGCGTTTTGGGTATCTTCTCTCTTCTATTTGTATAAGCTTCTTGCAGAGTCTTTTCAGGAGGCCTACTTGGCATTTGGTATTTAAGGAAAACAGAGGGATCTTTTAGTGACATGCGAATTGGCCAAACCTGCGTAGTTTTTCCAACCTTCTAATAAATGAATCTAAATATCTTTTTTTTTCTGACATGAGACAGAATTTACATCTTGGCATATAAATTTTGCATACAGACTTAATAGTATCATGGTCAGTATGTGAGGGGGTATATTTGAGCCATATGGCGAACATAGTCTACAAAGTCAGTATGACCATATTTTAAAAAGGAAATTATAGCCACTTGATTTGATATGAGTTCTTTTGGATATGTAGACTCTAATTTATGTTTTATTTTGGAGTTTTATCTCTCAATAGGTTATTAAAGCAATGACTTATTTCCTAAATTAGGTAGTAGTCACTTAATCCTTAAGCAATTTTAAAAAGAAAAGGAGTCAGGAAAAAAGTGATAGTTGTCAATTATGTGGGAAGAATCAGAGAGAGTTTGTTTTGTAAAACTCAGTTTCTACATATTTTCAGGAAAACCTTTTTATGAGTCAGACATACTTTTTTCTCTAATATTAATATCATCTTTGTCACTTAAGATTAACCATTCTGTTTTTTTAAACTAAAAATGTACCGCTTCTCGGCCTTTTGGCTAAGATCAAGTGTAAACTAAAAATGAAAAATAAATAGTCTAGAATCTATAAATTTAACTTTATCTGCTTTTTGTTGCCAAATTTTCAAGTAGGTGGGGGTTAGATGTTGGTTTAGTATCCATTTATAGACCAATATAAATCAGTTGAAACAACTCCAGATTCAGGGACCAAATTATTGTCATTGTTAAAGGTTACTTTTTGTCCCTAGAAAGTAACCATACATGGAAATTTTGGTATAGCAAGCAAAATACTATTTATCAGTTTTTATTTTTAAAAACCTTTACTGGAGATAATTTTGGTAGTTATAGTCAGGTAAAGGAGACTAGTAAGTAAGAATATTTTCATTTACTCGGCTAGCTTGAACTATTCAATGAGTAGTGTCTTTTCTCAGGAACTTTTATTTCCTGGATAGAAATTCTTTCTTAATCCTGTTCATCATAGGGAATTGTAAATCCAACCTTGCGTTCATTTAGATCCATGTTATCAAGATTTGCTTGTGTTCGTTAAGAATAATTGGTTATTGTCTAAACGGTTATTATCCCAAATCAGGCTGCAGTTTTAGGTCTAAGTAAAATGTTTTGAAAAAGAAGTAGTGGTGCAAAGGTAGCCAGAAAGAAAGTTAGAGAAAACATTTTAAAGTGGATCCATTTCACATAAAGTGGAAGAATTGTCACTTAAAGTGATATTTCTCAAATAGCTAGAAATGCCATGGGTTGTCACAGAAAACATCTCTAAGTTGTATTTATTAAAATATTACTTGGAGACCACCACCACCACCACCAAGAAAAAAAAATTACTTGGAGAATCTTAAGATGTTAATAAAAGTATATTTGCCTGATTTAATTTATGTTCTAGAAATTTGTTTCTTAAAATTTTGGAGGTGAGGCATTTATTGATTCAAATGTGAAAAACAAAATAGACCCACTATAAGGACCCTCTTATGCTTTCTTGCTTTCTGGATAACACCTCTAATTGTATAAGTGAAATGGATCAATTTGACATGACACAAGAACATAGCAAATCCAACATATGCTCACGGAAAGACTAGTTTCAAAACCCTCTTGTCTTCTAGAAAAACAATTTGGTTGATGAGAACTCACATGGTCTGTTAATAGAGATTCTTAGCATTTTTAACATCATACCTGTTTGCTTCTTTTTCTACTTTCTCGTCTTCTAACTTTTTTCTAGGGCTGCTCTTTTTAGTAAAGCTAAACAGAATGTGGCATCCTACAGCCTTTACTAACCTTTGTTAATCTGCCTGCTTGTCACATCTTGTATGGCATCTGTGCTCACTCATGGGGAAAGAGTTTCTGGAAGAAGCAACAGCAATAACCAAGGCAAATGTGGGGAAGTGGCTGCTTGAGTGTTAGCATGAATGGGGTGTAGGTTTTACTTCATATTCTTGAGATGGTGGAGATGTTATTTTATACCATTTTCTTAATAACTTCATATGACCTTAGAGTGAGAGTCTCACTCATGGTGTCCGTCTCCCTAAGAAATTTGCTTGCATATTTCATCACTTATGCCAGAAAGTGAAAATTTGGATTAGTGTTACTAAACAAACGAACTAATCTTTATATTAATAATAATCTACATATGCATATGTCTTAATAGACTTGCACATCATTTCAGGTTTTTGTTTTTGTTTTATTAGGGGTTTGTTTTGTTTTTATATTTGGTTAAGGCTTTTTTGC